TGCTATGGGTATGTTATGTCAGTAGTTGTTTGATAAGGCCTTTAGCCTTCTCTGCCAAAGAGTCCTGGTGCCTCAACAAACTATTTGTGCATCTACACAATAGACTTAACAAACTTCGACACAGCTTAAGTTGCCATGGGCCAGTGCTATGAAATCATGGGAGTTGTAGTTTGGCGAGGCAACTCTTTGGCAGAGGAGGCTATAGATCTTGCAAAACTACAACCCACCTGATTCCATAGCAGTGAGCCCTGGCAGTTAGAGCAGTATTCAACTTCATTAATTGTACTGCGTAAAAAAATGATAAACCAGGAGGAGAATAAAAATGATTGCGCGCACACACACACATTCATCCTTTCAATATAAATGCTACAACATTATAATATTCTGAGGGAAAGTACCTGGGAGATGCTCTCTTGGATTGGGATGGCATGGAGTTGATACACAGCCTTGGTTGACTGTGGGATGAGGAGGGAGTCCAATAATGCCAGCCTGTTCAGAGGTGCCACCTGCAGGTTTCACAGGGTAATTACATGTTTATATTTCCTAGTTTTATCAGTTTTCTCCCTTGGAGAGTATGGGCAAGGTCAGAGAGAAGGAACTAGAGCAGGTATGGGCAAACTTTGGCCCTCCAGGTGTTTTGGACTTCAACTCCCATAATTACTAACAGCTGATAGGCTGTTAGAAATTGTGGGAGTTGAAGTTCAAACTTTGGAGGGCCGAAGTTTGCCCACACCAGAACTAGAGGTATAGAAATCAGTCCAATGTATGGGTTGGAGCAAAAAGCATTAAGATGACCACATATCCATCCATGGTTCTGTGTTAAATGGGATTCATGTGAACTCATGGATTTCAAAGGAGATGGAACCACAACAGTATCACATAGTTGCGCTGTGCCTTCAAGCTTTTTCTGACTTAGTGTGACCCAAAAAGGGACCAGATCCCAACTGATCTTGTAAACTAATTAAGGCCAGCCTTGGTTAGCCCTTGGATGGGAGACCGCCAATGTACTGTAGGCTGTATTTAAGAGGAAGGAACTGGTAAATCCACATCTTATTCCTTGTCTAAAAATTCCTATGAAATTCAGGTTCCATGTGTCCCCTTGAAAGCATTTACAGGGGATTTGTGAACCTTTTACAGGTGATTTGTTCAGAAGGGGGAGCCTTTGCCTTCTTCTGAGGCTGAGAAAGTGTGACTTGCCCGAGTTTTCATGGCTGAGCAGGGATTCGAACCCTGTATATAGGGCCCTTCTGCACTGCCATATAATCCAGAATATCAAGGCAGATAATCCACATTATCTGCTTTGAACTGGATTATGAGTCTACATTCAGGAGCCCCCAGTGGCACAGTGGGTTAAACCCCTGTGCTGGCAGGACTGAAGACCGACAGGTCGCAAGTTCAAATCCTGGGAGAGCGCAAATGAGCTCCCTCTGTCAACTCCAGCTCCTCATGCGGGAACATGAGAGAAGCCTCCCACATGGATGACAAAACATCAAAACATTCCACTCTATTGTGGAATTACTATTCAACTTGAACTGCCCCAGTTCCATTCTATGGAGTCCCCAACATTTGCAAACTTCACCAAACTTCAAATTCCAGGATTCCAAGACAAGGCAGTGAAAGGGGCATCGGGCTGTATTCATTCAACAGATGAAACCATAATCCAAAAAGTCACTGGTTTCAGTCACTGTCCATGTTAAAGAAAGAGTCGTTTTGGATACCTACCAGCCCTTGTAGACTGTGGGGAGGGAGTCTGTAGTACTATTACAACCTTCTGAATAGGTTTGGAGGAACAACTGAAGGTGAACATGAGGAGTAGAGGAAGTGCACCGGTGGGTCCTGAAAAACAGAATTAGTGTTTACATCACATAGCATATGCCGCTCTTACCATTCGGGAAGTTATTTATCTGGCGAGAGTGAAGCAGCCACTGAGTCAGACAATTTAGTAAATTGGGAGTGCATCTACACTGTAAAATTAATGCAGTTTGATGCAACTTTAATGGCTATAGCTCAATGCTATGGGATAATGGGATTCATAGTTTGGTAAAACACCAGCTCTCTTTGGCAGCTAACACTCAGGACTTTATAAAACTAAAACTCTCCGGATTCCATAATATTGAACCGTGACAATTAAAATGGAGTCAAACTGTATGAATTCTACAGTATATAGGAACATCCCAGGAAAAGCTAAGGAAGCTCCTATCATTAGGAAGGGTGAGGTGGATGCTTTGGGTGTCACAGAAAATTGAAAGCTGCCTTATAACAAGAGGTGCATCTACATAATAGAATGAATGCTTTTTCACATCACTTTAACTGTTATGGAATCCTGGGAATTATAGTTTTACAAGGTCTTTAGTCTTCTCTACCAAAGAATGTTGGTGTGTCATTATACTAAAGGTTAAGGTTGTCCCCTGACATTAAGTCTAGTCATGTCTCACTCTGGGGTGTGGTGCTCATCTCCAGTTCTAAGCCGAAGAGCCAGCACTGTCCAGACACCTCCAAGGTCATGTGGCCGGCATGACTGCATGGAGCGCCGTTACCTTCCCGTCAGAGCAGTACCTATTGATCTACTCACATTTGCATGTTTTCGAACTTCTACGTTGGCAGAAGCTAGAGCTGACATTATACTATAAATCCCAAAATACTATAGCACTGAGCCATGGCAATTAAAGTGGTGTCAAACTGCATTAATTCTATTGTACAGATGTACCACTCAGCCAATGGCTAATCTATATCCAGATGTTTCTATATGAAGGTATTCTCATGGATACAAGTACAGGTATTCCAAAATTCAACAGAATCCAAATTCCAGTTTATGAATTCCAATTTATAACAGTAAAGGACTTTGACTTGTATCAGAGTCCTTTACTGTTATAAATTGGAATTCATAAATTGGAATTTGGATTCTGTGGAATTTTGGAATACCTGTATTTGCACATATGTATATTATGTGATCACGAAGAGGTCACGAAGAGTCGGAGACGACTGAACGAATGAACAACAACATATTATGTGATATTTTGGAAACTCCAATCTAAACACAAATTACATTGATATTTCATATTCCTTATATATGCTGCCTGAAGGTAATTTTAAAAACATTTGTAATAATTTTGTGCATGAAACAACATTTGTATATATTGAACCAGCGGGAAGCAAAATTGTCACTATCTCAGCCATTCATATGGTCGGTTTTGGATTTTGTAAGTATTTTGAATGTTGTCATTCAAGATAAGGAATTCTTATCCAGTGATAAGATAACAGCAGCCCTTTACTGGACATGGACTTTACAGAACTGCCCAGACCTCTTCTACACTGCCATATAAAATCCAGATTATCTGCTTTAAACAGGATTATATGGCAGTGTAGACAGATATAATCCAATTCAAGCAGTTTATGTGCATTATCTGCTTTTATAATCTGGACTATATGGCAGTGTAGGAGACCTAGAACAGCAGAAAACAACCTTGCCACTTCCTCCATGTGATATCCTTTCAAATA